GTTAGTCAGATTATTAGTCTAATCTAATTTGATTGACAGGAATGTCAATGTCTTGTTCCTCTCGGTTAACACTGAAATTGTATGCGCTTTGCTGCACTTAACACAATTTAAGATTTCTTTATTATTGTGCTATACCAATGCTGTCATGTTGTGCCACTTGAGTAGTCCTCTTCGACCCTGAGCCACATTCAGCTCAGCTTTTGTCTGTTGTACGGAGCTCACAGGGCAAACACAATGTACTGTAGCTTTACTAACCAGATGCTTATGGTTCCCTTCTGCTGCTGCAACACAGAGCCGCCACTAAAAAAACAAAAAAAAACTGCATCTGTCTGTTCTTCATCATATAAAAACCTGGCTGCTACTTCCACCTCACAGTGCTGGTTGTCTTCAATACTACTGACCGTGATCTTATAACCACTTCAAGCTCATTTTTCACTGACTTGTTCTCTATTAAAGTCACAATGGAAGGCTGATACCCCCTGTAGAGTGTGAATTGTAACTTTGGAAGCAGAGAGAGCGAGCGATCACCTTCCTGTCTTGGCATAGTCGACGGCAGACCTCGTGTACTCTGACCTTGATGGGGTCAATGTCACATGTAAGGACCTGGATAATGTGAGGAAGACATCATGACAATGCTTCAATACACAGTGCCTTCCACTCAGGTCAGTTTCTATCTGCACACAGAACACATTCACAGATCCCTCTTGAGAGGTAAAATTACAGTATAACAAGCTGTGTTGTATTTGCAATAATTTGCCCTGCAGCTATGATTGTTTCAGGTTTTGTCTACCTGAAACAATCCTCACTGCTTCCGAAAGCTATTTTCCCCTTTTTACTTTCACCGACGACTTCTAAGTGGACCTGTGTCTCATGGATGCAGCTGTGACTTTGCTTCCTTTTATAATTTGAAACTGGAATTTTAACTGTAAAGTTAGAGGGGATCTGCTTAGTAACTGATCCTCCATGTAAGGCCGGGATGGTATGATGATCACGACTGACCTTTCAAACAGCTGTCTCATCTGAAGACAACTAAGTAACAAGGTGTGGATTGATTTGGTGCTGGATGGAGGACACCCCTCGCATGAACTGGTCAATTCTACACACAAGTTATATTCAGCATGGACAGACATTTGCACTGCACATGGAGGACGTCTTGAGGACGTCTTGATCAGCAGGTTGCACTCGCATGTGATTTTTGGGGTGGGAGAAGCGTTGCCTTGTGAATAAGCTCCACTTCATTTATGCGGCCTGTTTTGTATGTCATGTTTTGTTTTTTGTGTAATGCCAATGCATCACTTATTGGGGGAACTGGCACCTAAAATGTTACTTAATAATCACCCAGAGTAACACAATCACACAATGTTAAAATAGATGGCAAAGTTAATGTTAGGAATATGGTTTCCTTTGAGTACTGGAATATAAGGAAATATATAATGAATGTATAGTAGACAAGGGAGGGGGTAGCACTAGCATTTAAACAGCACTTACTGTAGAAGCTTGTCTCAGTTGAGTGTTGTGGTGGTTTAGAGCAGCCATATGTTGGTCCCTACTAATCCTTGCCGATGCTTCTAAAATCTTTCTTTCTGGCATCCCCAGGTGTAACCCTGACTTGATGACCAGAATGAAATTCAGCAGGGTGCTGAGGGCCACTCGTAAAAAGCGTGAGAGCACTAACATTGTTCATATCCTATACCTTTTTAAGTTCCAACACAGGAGAGATATACACTCATGTACTCTTACTGTGTGGGGTGAGACTTCCTCGAGTGGGCCATTGCAAGATCAACACCTCCCTGAAAGCACAAAGTCCAGCGCACAGCTTCGAACATCTCAGCTTTTATCTGGATGTGTGGACTTGACGAAAGTAGATCAAGGACTTGCTTGGACGAGCACAGAGAATATGGTTCTTAAATTGGGGAATAATAAATGAGACCTGCATTATGTGATATGATATGCCTTTGTTTTCTTATTGTGACAAATGTACCACTTTTAATGTGCAAATGATTTGACGTCATGCTCTTTTTTTTTTTTTTTTTAACACAAATATTTTTGCAGGTTAATTTGAGAGCAAAAAGTGACAATGAAATAAAAACAGTGCAACAGTGAGAAACAATTTTAGCTTATCCCAAAGACAAATCCCATTTCATACATTTATTTTGGATATGTATCTATGGGCTTTCCTGTAAACAAGTCTATGCGTTCATTTTGACATGGTAAAGTATTATGGTTCAAATTAATTTTCGGATTCTGAGTGTGTACATGCACGTCAATAATAACAATCGCGCTGAGAACTGTTGCTCAACCTGTCAAGCATCACTGCAGACTGCTTGCTGCAGTATTTTTACGATGACATCATCCCTTTTGAGGGCATACCACGTGGTTGCTTGCCAAATATGCAGCACACTATGATGCACACGTTTTAAAAATAAGCACCTATATTTACTGTAACTAACTGGGACCCGTCGCCTAAAAGATAATGTTAACATAATGTGTCGTTGTTTCTGTGATATTCGAGCCGGTTTTGTGGTCACTGAGCCTTTTAACAGTTGGGAATGAGAGGCGTGGACTCTTGATTGGTCAAAGTCAAGGGATACACGAAAATCAACCAATCTGATTGGCTGGCGGATTCAGGAGGTAAATCCTGATCCTGCCTCCGACTGTAACCCAGAGCTCTCCCCCTCGTAGTGTATTTTTTTTTTTTGTTGCCCTGGCTCGGTTGCTTCCCTCTCCCTGTGTTCCGCCATTAAAGCCCGTCGGCTCGGTGTTTGTTTGGGAATCGAGGAAAAAAAGGATGAAAATGATTTAAAGCGTCAAAGCAGACGCCCGAGGGACGGGACTTACGGGGGTGGGGTGGGTGGGGGGGGTTCTTGCTCCGCGGTATGTATGGACCTTCAGCTGCCCACTAAACGGAGCCCCACAGAAGTAAATATGCGGTGTTAGTGTCGGCCAAGTGAGAGAAACCCGAGTTCGGATTGGAGTGGGTTTCTCTGGTCTTTTGGGGGGGTGGGCGGGAAGAGAGGGGGGGGCGTCTTCATTTGTTTTGGCTGCAGTTGGAAACTGAGGAGTGTAAACACTGCAAAGGTAAGGGGTTAGCACAATGTCTTGCAAAGTTGATAAGGGCCTTTGAAACAAAACATAATCCCGTAATGTTAGCGGGCAGACAGCTAGCTCGGCTTTAATTCCTGGCTCCGCAACCGAACCAGCATAGCGTAACGTTAGTTGTCATGTAGGATAACACACGGCTAGCTCGCTCCGTGGGTCTGTTTACACGCGATATGTAGCGTTAGGAGTTGATAAATACACACATGGCACACTTGATTTTAAACTGTGTTTTTCAGCCGAATGCATCTGCTAGTCACGAGTAAACATGTTGAACGTGACTAACCTAGTTAGCTGTTTAACATGGGCAATGTTTCCCTGCAGATATTCATTTTTTTGTTAGCTCCTCAAAACATGCAACTGTGGAAGAATCGTATCCCTCGAATGGGTTGACTACATCGCGGTGTGTTGGTAAACTTAGAGGCGTGGTGCACAGTGCAACCAACTCCCAGCGAGTTAACTTTTATCTTATCAGCTTTATTTCGTAAATAACCTTCAGCATGTTGCACCATTCACTTTCATATATGCGTGATAGGCTTTTGGGGGGTGAGCTCAGTTTCGGTGCATCATTTAAGTGTCTTAACCAGTCACGCGCCTCCCTGCTGGGTGTCTGGTTTCATATGTCCTTGTCTCCTGTTACCTAGCTCGGTTGTAGGGCACATCAGCCTGGTGTACAGAACTTACTGTATGTGTTTTAAAGCCAGTGTCGGGTTGTAATAGAACCGCGGAGATTCCGGTGTTGCAGCCCAGGCTGCTGCGTCTTGGTCCTGGCACTGCTTTTGTGTGTCTGTAAACATTGCTCCCTTTGATTTTTTTTTTTAGTGTTAGGTCAACAGCAAACACCGCTGTAGATGTTTGCAAGTGTTTGACAGTGAATATGTGGCAAAGGTAACTGTAATAAAGCGTGCTTTGTTTAGGTTTTGTGTACGTGCAACATTGGAGAGATTTACTACTGACAACCTGGAAAGTTGAGCACCATATCTTGCAATGCAGGACCATTTCTCCCAATTGTATTGTTGATCATTTTATCTATGAAAAGTATTTGTCTTTGAGTTATAAGATACATTTTGTAGTCTAGTTTAATATGTTTACTTTGCATACCATTAAATCGTTTTTTTCTCTACCCTAGTGTACTGCTGGCTGTGTGATCTCAAGAGTGGATCTGCCGAGCTGACAACCCCTCTGAAGGGCGGGAAGCCTCCTTCAGCGGCGGTGCGACGATGACCGAGTTGGTCGCCAAGTGGGCTTGTGAATACTGCACATACGAGAACTGGCCGTCAGCCATCAAGTGCACCATGTGCCGTGCTCAGAGGCCCAGCGGGAGTGCCATCATTACCGAGGAGCCCTTCAAGAGCAGCCCTGCTCTGGATGCCAGTCTGCACCAGTGGGACCCTGCTGGCCTCAGCAACAGCCCAACCCAGGGGGGCTCCAGCTTACTTATTTGTCCAGACTCCAGTGCCCGACCCCGTGTACGCATTGCTGATGTACCGGAGACTAGCAGCAAGTGGTCGTGCCACATGTGCACCTACTTGAACTGGCCTCGGGCAATCCGTTGCACCCAGTGCCTTTGCCAGAGGCAACAAGCTCAGCAACAACAGCATGGGCAACATGCAACACATCATGGACATCATACCCGGCAGCCACGCAGCCCCACAGAATCCCCCCAGACCTCGGGCTCTGGATGCCGCCCTGCTCCCCTGGCCACCACTACAGACCCCTGTGAGGAATACAATGACCGTAACAGGCTCAACACTCATGTAAAGCGCTGGACCTGCACTGCCTGCACTTACGAGAACTGGGCCAAGGCACTCAAGTGTGTGGTGTGTGACCACCCTTGGCCAAATAGTCTGCTCGCTGAACCCATCGAGCTGGCGTCAGAGTCCGAGAGCCAACAACCTTCCTCAAAACGCATCGAGCAGGACAGGGACAACAGGAGAGGCGTGGTTGGGCACGTGCTTGGGCAAGGAGTCGGGGGTGTGGTAAGTGGGGTGGTGGGTTGTAGCAGCAGCCAAAGGAGGTCCCCCCCGACCTCAAAACGGGAGTCGGAGGTAAACATGGACTTTCAGAGGATTGAACTGGCATCGGGGGCCGGGATTGGGAGCAAAGAGGAGCTGGAGGTGGACTTCAAAAAACTGAAGCAGATTAAGAACCGGATGAGAAGAACTGATTGGCTGTTCCTCAATGCCTGTGTTGGTGAGTTCCTTAACTATGATTTATTCTATTGTCTTGCACATTCAGCCTGTTCTCCTGGTGTGTTGTTATGTTATGAGGTGGGCAATAAGTCATCAGAATGATGTAAGGCAGGCAAACAGAAAAATGGGTGAAGTGCGAATTCCCAGAATTTGTGTGACGGCTTGATACTGTTTTATCGTCTGCAAGGTAATTGGTTAAAATACAATTTATATAGCCACGTCGAAGCGATCGTGATTTGCGTCCTCCTGATGCTACTATAGTGTAAATGCTTAGAAATCCCCGACATTCAGCTAGTGTAAAACCTACACAAGCGGTGTCCGGCCGCCCACACTGTCCACTGGTGAACGTGGAGTGGGAGGTAGGATGAGCATTTTAAGAACAACCAGTGATTGTTTGTTAGTTTGATCTCGCACCACTATCTCACTCTCTCTCTCCCATGACTATGTAGAGATGCCCCGCACACCCACTCAACCTCCAGGCCTTTTTTTCCCATATATGTGTCTTCGACATACAATTCTTCGGTGTCACACTGACAGCCACGCATGTATATGATATCCCAAATGAAGCACCCGCAGTGATTAACAGTTGTCCGGGGTTTTCATGCTGCTGCATTGCTTGACACAAAGAGATAATCGGGTGTGAATGTCAGAGAAACATCACTGGAGTTAGTCAGCTTCTGGTCCTACACTGGGTCTATGACTGCATGTGACGGGGTGAGTTTCCTCATATCTGTGTAGCTTGTCCCCTCGGGACCAATTCTTGTCTGGTGGAGCGTCTGATGTGCGTGGCTCTGATTTCTTTCGGCATATTCAAGTGTGAGCTTTCCTTATCTGATCGGAGATTTCTCCATCGTCAGTTGAAGGAAAATGAAATCAAAGCCGTATCAGAAACCAGCAAATTCACGCCATATCATTTGGAAGACTAGGTCTGCTGCAGACAATTCTTTTCGTGATTGATGTCTGCTTATTGTTTCCTCAATTTATCATTTGGTCTTTGGAAACATGGCCGTTACAGTTTCTCAGAGCACATGCATATGGTTTGTTTGCCAAGTATTTGATACCCCAATTTAATGCTCAGAGTACAATACACTGCCTAGTTTTAATTATCATAATGTAGTGAGTGAGTGAATGCGATGTGACCCCGCTGCAGCCTCAGAGCGCACAGATGTGTGTGTGTGTGTGTGTTTAAAGCCCGTTGGTGTTAAGTGTGTCTGTCCTCTGTTGCTAGGGCGGTTTTCCCGTCATTGGCGTATCTACATCAATGTTTATAAACAGTGGCCTCAAATTTCTGACAGACGCTCCAGTTTCCTTCACTAAAAATAGCTTGACCCGTGCAACAGAAGTCAAAAATACATACAGTAAGTCTTTGGCAACAACAACGACCCCTATAGTGTGGATGGCCCGAGATCAACTCCCTGAACACGTATGGTGTTACTCACATGTGTGGTAGCATTATTAATGGCTCTGGGTCATTTAGGTCCCTCAGAATGAAAAGTCAGCTACAATGCTATTGATGATACTTCTACATTTCCTTACTGTACCATGTCAAAGGACTAAAATTATTTTTAATTTTTAATTAATGTCTATCAAATAGGGGTTATTTGTGGGTCCACTGCACATAACATCCATCCTCACAACTAGTGATGTGTCAGATTCAACCCTCAGCCCTTATTTTCTAAACATGAGCTGCCAGCGGGGTGCTCGGGGGGGGGGTGATGCACATTGATCAACGTCACTGTAACTGTGCCAGTGTTTGCCAAAAAGGTATTTTTAGAATGCTGTCTGTTATTGTTACATTTATCGCTTTTTGTCCCAAGCAACACACACATTGAGTACAAACAATAGAAAGAAAACAATTTGTCTCGGAAAGTGGTGAAATAATCTCACCGTATTATTACCAGCCGTGACAGCGATGCTTGTGTTGTTTCCTATTGAAGAGGGAACAGCCACAGAGGCTGTTTTGAGCTCTTTGGCAGGTGTTTATATTTCTGTGGACAGATTTAGTCTCTGTGATCGCATCGCAACCATGTAAGATGCAGTCACATAACCTCACAAGTGGGTAGTTGAGATTAAAATGAAGGCAGAGTATGAAGATCGGTCTCAGCAAGGGCCCCGGAAGTAAGGGGTTAGGAAGGGGAGAAGGGGCCGTTGACACCCCTCACTTTACGCCCCTGGTCTAATCCCATCAAAATATGCTCTCTAGTTTGGCTTGTGTTAAGAAAGTAAAGGTCAGATGTCTTGGTGTTGTACGTAGTGTGGTTTACCTTGTTTCTGCTTATTTTAAATGATGTGGTGGACTTGCTTAGTTTAACAAACTTTTTTTCAGATTACTACCAGAAAAAGCACAAAGCACAAGCCTGATTCACTTTATTACCAACAATTTGTTGAACTATGAGAGAGAACCTGACATTGCTGGTTCAGCAGGACAATAATGTTTGTTGTTTATTTTCTTATGATAGAGGCAACCACCATCCACATCACTGAAAGAAAACATGCAAAAATCCAGCGCCACTTAGCCTGAGCCGTTCCCTTTCCTCTCCGTCTTTAAGTGTGCGTCTGTTTGCGTGTTTACACCTTTTTGTGTTTTCTTTAAGAGACCTGCGGGTACAGCACTGATGGCAGGGCCACAGGCAGCCCACACTAATGGAGTTTTGTGTGGAGAGAGTGGCTGTGATCCCTCTCCATCCCACTGCGCTGCCTTTGTGTATTTTCTCTCCTCATCTCACAGTGCTAACCAGCTCCACACGGCACAGCGAGTCCTTCCACCCACTCCATGTCTCTCTCTCGGGCTCACTCGTACACAGATTATGCAGCTGAGCGTTGTGTGTGTGTGTGTGGCCCTTTTGACGCCAGAACAAAAGCTCAACAGTCTTTAATGCTGCTAAATGTACGAGAGAATACCACATAGGTGTTTACTGTATTATGCTCAGAGGTGTTTGAGTTCATGGAGAAACAGTTTGTTTAGTCCACAGTTGAACATCCAGGTAGTCGATGTGTTTTTAAGAGGAAGATCACTATAATCATTTACTCAGCATAATACCTTCAAAGCAAAATACTGCAGAGTATAGTATGTTTACTGTGCACACGGTCAACTGTTTCTATAGTTTTATTGTCAGGTTGAATAGATTAGCCCTTGTGTTTGTGTGCTGGTGGTTGACATAAATAGTTTCTGTCGTAGTAATATTTGCACTTTGTGTAAAGAAAAGTAAACACCTGCATCTGTCGGAACAAACGCATCGTTCGACCCTTAGGCTGAGATCTGAACCTGAAGATGAAGAGGAGAAATAATAACTGACGGATTACAATGTGGCCCCCCCATTGTCTTTTCCCCCCTTGACTTCAAAGTCAGTGAAGTCTCAAAGCTGTTACAGCTGCCACAGAGATAAAGCACCGTCTGATCTCTAATGTTTTATACTCCGTGGTTGAGCACAGAATGTCCAGTCACGATGTGGTTTTAACCGCAGTGATCGACGTGTTCGACGTACAATCGTTTAAGCCGCATAATGCAATCAAAAGTAAACCGATACTCCTTTGTTTTCCTTCTCACATGTTTTGATTGATACGAATCCTTCTACTGTTAATTCTGTGTTTGAAAGACTTCATACAAAGTAGTTATTAAGAATTAAAGAATTATTAATGTGACTCTTTTCCTTCCTCTTTGTTGTGAAAGGTGTTGTGGAAGGTGACCTGGCAGCCGTGGAGGCCTACAAGTCATCGGGAGGTGACATCGCACGCCAGCTAACGTCAGACGAGGTGCGTCTATTAAACCGTCCCTCGGCATTTGATGACGGCTTCACGCTGGTCCACCTCGCCATCCGCTTCCAGAGGCAGGACATGCTGGCGGTGTTGCTCACGGAGGTCAGTAGAGAGTCTTTCAGGAATCGCCTGCAGCAGATACTGGCTGACGGATAGGTGTGCATGCTGGTAGAGCAACGGGGATCATTCTCTTCAGCAAATACAACATGTTAGTCATTTACATCACTCAAATTCGTTCATTTAAAAGATGGAGCAGAATCATTTTGAACTATTTACTAGCTTCACAAAAATCGTAAAAAATTGAGGGACTATGGTAGAAATGTGACCCTTGAATTATGGGTGTGATTGCAGTGGTGCTTGTTTCTGGGTCAGCGATGATGTCGCCTTTTCTTGTGAAGTCTCTTAATCTCAACATCCAATGATATCAGCCAGGAGGGATCACATGAGCAGAGGGTCTGGAATTCAACTTTTTGATAGTTCATTCATTTTGTGTTGCTAATAATAATAATAATAATGGAGTATTTTGTTAAAGATGTGGGTTCCCTGGTGTGTCTGTGTAACAGTCAGGCTCACTGAGCTGATGCGTGTGTGTGTGTGTTTGTCGGCAGTGTGTGTGTGCTGTTGTTGATTGCAGCTCTCTTGCCGCCAGCACTGTGATCCCAGATTATCTGTGTACACACACCTCTCCTCCCACACTCGGTCACTGTCCCCGTTTCTCTTCCGAGGGGTCAGTGACTAACCGCTGGCTCATGCCCCGAAAAATGCTTCAAAGCTGACGTCTGCTTGAAAACAGATTCCTTTCCTTTTTCCCCATCTTGTCCCGGAGGCAACTTGGATTAGATTAGTGAAGGTCGATTTAGATCAGATCACTGAGTCCACAATGCTGGAAGAATCATTTATTTTGGAGCCATGTTGTTCAAACTTATTGTCCTGTCATCTTTCCCTTCTTTTAAAAAAAACCCGCAATTGTTATAAATTCTCTTGCTCAATTATCAGCCTCTGTCACACATTCCTTTATATTTGGATTATACTTCCCTTTCTCCTCTCTTCTCTGTAGGTGTCCCAACAGGCAGCCAAGTGTATTCCCGCCATGGTGTGTCCGGAGCTAACGGAGCAGATCCGTCGTGAGGTGGCAGCCTCACTTCACCAGCGTAAGGGCGACTTCACCTGCTATTTCCTCACCGACTTGGTGACCTTCACCCTGCCTGCAGGTAAGCACCACAAACAATGATTATAAATGTCTGAAAACAATTGACTTGAATGTTACAACTTAAACTCCAGACGCTGTCAAAGTGCACTTCATGTGCATTGTATAAGGGTAACTTAAAACCCAGTCTCGCCGTCTCCTCTGGCTCTACCAACTGTGTGATTGAATGCTTGTTTTGTTTACTCGCGGTGTATGAAATTGCTTTTTGTTGAGATGCTGAGGGGACATAATGCTACGGTTGTCTGTTTCAAACTGCAGAAGACGGAGGCCACATCTCTGGCTCACTGTTTCAGTATTGTTCTTGCATACCGAGTAGGCCGGCCCGCCAACAATGCACGTCTCCCGTTCATGACTAAGCTGTATTTGGCTTTTTTTTTTTTCCAATGACACTCTGTAAAATTGCATTCAGTGCTATATCTGTTGAACTTCATTGTGTGTGTGAAATAGCTATTAATGGTCCAGTCTGTTGCTGGTAACGAAGCTAAGGATGTTTGTTGTGGAGTGTTCAGGACAATGCAGACTTTGGCTTCTAGCCACTATAGAGAGACGTTCTCTTCAGCTAAAAGAAATGAATGCAGTGACTTTGTGGAACCGAAGAATGAGCCGCTGTGTTGACAAGAGCTCAGAGCACGCAGCGAAGGCCAGTGGCCATTGTGAGAAGAACAAAAAGCATGGTGGCTTGAGTTGAAATGAGCCATTTTCAGTAATTTCTATTAAGTGTTATTGAATTAAATTTCTGCCAATAAATCCCCTTAAATCCTACACAATGTTCTTTTACTGTCTCTGCGCCTGTGTGCGCTCTAATAATGATTGTTATCGTTCACTTATCTTCTTCTTTTTGTTTTCTTGTGTCAGACATTGAGGACTTGCCCCCAGCTGTTCAGGAGAAGCTGTTTGATGAGGTGCTGGACCGAGATGTACAAAAAGGTGAAATATTTACTCCCGTCAACTTCATGACTGAGTGTTGCAGTAACACCGATCACATGCTGTGCTTACATATGGATCCACTTTGAGAGAGACAGAGAGAGAGAAAGAGAAACCAGATCCAAGATGGGAACCATGGTCTGGCTTGTAAAACAGAAGGAGCACCCTCACAAACTGTCTACTGTAATGGGGGAGGCTGCCCAAACCTGGCAGTGTTACATTACTTGTATTTTCCCTGTTGCCAACTCATCGTTTTACCTGCCTGCTTGTCTCTTTGCCAGGCAGCCGGTCTTCATCGTGTGAACCAATTGTGTCTGTGTTAATCAGCCTAATTAAGTTTGAGGGAGTTCTCCGCACACACACACACACACACACACACGCACACACACACACACACACACACACACATTTAAAAGGCATCGCTTCTCTGCAACACTTGTTTTCTTCAGTTTCCTGCTTATTTGTGTGACCTGTTCAATAAGTACAATGTGTCAAATATTCTGCACTGCAGCATAAGTACACAGACAGACATCAACCCTTATTTCATCTTATTTCAAGATCCTTTCTCTGTGCGTTTGCGTTCACTTCAATAACTAGTTTTGGCAGAAACATGAAACGTCAAGTGAACAGAAAACCATGTCTCCTTTTTCAGGTTAGGGGATTAAGACGGACGAAGTTACCACGCCATGGAGACCTTTCAAGGTGCTCGGTGTGTGTGTGTGTGTGTGTGTGTGTGTGTGTGTGTGTGTGTGTGTGATTTGCAAGAACAAAAACCCAGGAGAGGGACAGTATCACGGTAGCAATGTAGGATAATGCCAGACGGATCATTCCTAGAAGCTTTGTGTAGTTGTGTCTAGAATATTTCAATATTTAATCAGATTTAAACTGAACAAAACCATATTGAGCTTTTTATGATGGTGGTGGTGTTGTTTTCATGAACTTAAATACGTCATAACTTAATAAGTCAGTTAATCAAGTTCATTTGTAAATCTCACATACATACTCACGGTAAGAAAACACTGTTCTCCCACAATGAAAATAGAGCAACCAGAGAAACCCATGTAAGCTCATGGCGAGATGGTGGATTGGAAAACTACGACTCCCCTTGCTGTGAGGCAGCACTTCCAACCAATGACCCCCCTCCTGCCCTTTATAACTGAGTAACAGTTTGACAATCCTCTCGGAGGCTTTCAGCTGATGCTGTATTTACAAATCCTTGTCGTTTTGGAGCTTGATGTGGAGCTGAATTATATTTTGCCGGGCCTCTTTTTCTCTCTTCTCTGCCAATTACTTTTTAGCCATATGCTCACAATGCATTTTAAGCTCCTCCGCCCCCATTGCTCAAGACCTTGTGACTCTCCAAAGCTCTGCTGAGTTTAGGTCCAAGCCAGACGAGCTGAACCCTCTGTTGGAAGCTTCCTTTTCAAGTCACATGACTCATGTTGGAGGACCTCGTCCCTCTCAGAGACCCTGGGCTCCCCCTGGGCGCTGACATCATTTAGTTTTTGAACCACTGAATCAGTCTCCTGAATATTATCTTCTTGCTGCATCCACAGTGACTTTCTCAACCTATTCTCCTTGCAGCTCATTGTAAGTTGTCCTGTATCGCTGTACACTTGTCCTTCTCTTCCAGAGTGATGATCTGAATTTGGTTGTTGTATTTCCACATCTTTTATAAACAATTACTGGCGGCTGTTCACATGCAGGTCTATTTGCGCCCTCAGATCCATTGTTGTCGGTGTGTTTAAGTGGAAGGCATGCTCACAAACGAGAGCGACACTGTCGTGGTGCACAAGCACCTGGCACATGTCTTCTCTTTCTTGGTTGCTTAGTAACGGCAGACTGGATAAAAGAATGAAAGTGGCGCGGCTGCTGTTTTCCACCCGTTTATAAACCCAACATGTGCCGTCCTTACACAATACAAACAGACGTGTACACAAAAGAGATCCAGAGGAAACCGTGCATTCAAGTGCTTTTCATTGTTCTTATTGATAGAAGTCTTCCTGTAAACTGATCGCTCTCCTTCAGCAGAGTTGTGTTACGTTACTGCTTACACTGTTTGCTGGTTTCAAATTTTTCATGGCATTTGTTAATAAAAAGATATAATAATGCCAAAACCTGCACTTTTCAACATGTTTCTGTCATACCTTACGGGGTATCTGAACACTGTATATCTGACGTGTTTTCCCGCCGTAATCTGACTTCTCGCTGTCATCTGTTTTTGTACTGTACATGCTGACCTGTGTAAACATCTCTAGTCCTTTTCAAATGCCATCACCTGTCTTGCAACTTGGAAAACCCCCTACTATGGCCTCAATACAACCGTCACACACTTCTCACTACAATTTGTTCCCTTTTTGAGGTAAAATAGCTAATACCACTGAGATGGAGCACTCAACTTCTCTTCCCCTCTTGTTCAGAACTCGAAGAGGAGTCGCCCATCATCAACTGGTCCCTGGAGCTCGGGACCCGGTTGGACAGTCGGTTGTACGCCCTGTGGAACCGCACTGCCGGGGACTGTCTCCTGGACTCCGTGCTGCAGGCTACATGGGGCATCTATGACAAGGACTCGGTGCTCCGCAAGACCCTCCACGACAGCCTGCACGACTGTTCTCACTGGTGAGTCCTGCAGGCCGGGGACTAGGAGAGCACATTGCAGCGTGTTATTGGTCCTTTAAAAGACAACCTGTGAACATTACGGCATGCTGCACCTAGTCTCAGGCCTGTTAGTACTGTGTTTAGCAGACTGAATGACATAATGCACCACACACCAATAGTAGAGATGTACTGATGTCAGCTGTGGTGGTGAGTAGTCTGGGCAAACAAGGTGAATATCCTGCATTTTTTTATTTATATTTATTTATATATATATATATATATATATATATATGCTTTATATTGCTGCAAGAATTTAGTGTAAAAACACTTCTTCCGACTGCACTTCTTCCGACATATATATATATATATATATAAATATATATATATATATATATATATA